CCCCCCCCCCCTCTTGGTAGCCTTTGGGACATTAACTTAGGCTTAACAACCTAATTACTAGACTCAACAGTTAACTTTCATGGAAGAGGTCGGATCAAATCTCCTTGTGTTTGATCATCCAATGATTGAGACACAATAAAGATTATGTATTTCTCAAATCAAGGGTTTAAGATTTAATTGGCATCCTCCTAGGATATTTGACCTATATGATATTATATGTCAGAGCCCTGCTCGATGATAATAACTTACAGGAAGAGCTCGAATTGAATCTCTTTAGGATTGATCATCTAATGATTGAAACACAATAAAGATTGTGTATTTCTCAAATCATGGATAAAGATATTATAGTCATCGATAGTTTATTATTATTATTTTTTATACTTTTAAAAAAATTGGACAATATCAAAATGGAGTGAACAACATATTATTATATTATATAAAATAATATAACAAGTCCTTAGTCTTAGGGATATAAGAGTTACACCATACTCAGCACATAAGAGATATATATTGGGATAACACATCATTAACTTGAAATAAAATACTATAGACATTAGAGTGACACCCCACCTAAAATAGAAGAGATACACGATGACACAAGATAAGTAATAGTACTAACACAAAGGCCCAAACTGCATGGTTATTTAATCTCACCAACTATTTAAAAATTATTCAATGATTGCCTTTCATGTTATTGATTTTTCCCCCTAATGAAATGAGCCTCATCTCAAGTAAATGAATCTTGAATGAACTATTAAAGGTATACTTGCCATATAAGTCTCTCAAATTCATTTTTGAGCGAATTACAAGCTTTAGTGATGTGCCCATGACTACGGTGGAAATGACATTATTGATCTTGATTTCTATTATTCAGTTTCAAAGGATTATAACACTTGATATTTTTTTTATCTCGAATAGCCATCAGTATATTATTTTGAGATGCATTAAGATAAATATACTCTTCTTGTTTTTGAAACTTGTGGCATAGTAATGGAGGCAGACTATTCTTCCCTTGTTTCTTTTTATTCGAGAATGAGTTATCCATTGTAGAAAATTTTTTGTGCATTCTGAAAGTTTTCTAAAATTGTTTTATATGAGTATTAATGGCTTTATCTATTGATATTTGTGCCTCCACACGATGGATCAATCCAGCATATGAGGGAGTCGTGTCTCGCACAAGTGTTGAGTAAAAGGGACCAGGACGAATACCTCAAATGAAAACTTTTCTTAATAATTTATTATCTACTAAAAATTGTCATACTTTTATGGACAATCTTTGAAAATACTCCTTCAGTGATTCTCTTTTATTTTTGCAGATCTTAGAGAAGTGAGAATAATCCTTAGTAATTCTTTTATTGGTGACAAATTGTTCGACAAATACTTTAGTCAATTTAATAAATATAGGAATTATTCCATCTAGAAGTGAATAAAATCACATTCGAGCTTGTTATTTGAAGGTAATAAGAAAAACTTGGTAGAGAAGTGCATCTGAGGCTCACTGGATATGCATGATGGTTCTATAGTGATCTAAATACTCGTGCAGGTCGGATGTCCCGTCATAAGAATTAATACTCGATAGTTTGAATCCTGCCAAAGGGGTGTTAAAGGATGGCTTCGATCAAGGGTGATGACTCCTGGAAGTTCCACTAACGATGAGATTATCTTATACCTCCAATGGGGAACTTTTTTTGGACCAATCTTCATAATTCATGATGTAAGGTGTTACGAGGGAGTTCAACAATATGCTATCAAGCTAAGCCCTCGGGGTCATCCAAAGGAATACGAGGTTAGCGATCTACATGCGAAGGATAGGTAGAGCTTACTATGTTAGTAAGCTCATTATCTTGATGTGTCGAAGGACGTATCCTTAGCTTAGGAAGGGGAATCTCGCATGAAGATGTTCGCATTGAACAACTTCGAGCCCTAGTAGACCCCGAGTGAGAAGAATCACCACTTTTGGTGTTAGCACTGGTCGTTGAGTCTCTCGCAAAAGTTAAAGGATCACATTTTGAGATTCCTCTATCTTTCTGATGCGGTCTTCCATGGAAGGTCATGAAGTTCCTTCTCCAGCAGAATTTTCCTCTCCAAGATAAAAAAGAGAGATATACTTGACATTTATGAATCATAAACTGATTCCTAGATTGATGTGAGTTAGAGTGAGAGGCTCCTAAGATACGATTGTTATGCCTGTCAGCCATCAAAATGGTGCTTAACATAGTGGAATTGAGTTTCCTGTAGATGGCACCAAACTATTGCGAGTTAGAATATATGTGGTGATAGAGTTATAATAATGCGTCTTAGCATTGTATGGATATCTAGCTCACATATAGAGAATGCATGATTTTTGTATGTGGAAAGCCTTGGAAAGGGGAAAAAATATGTGGCCTTGCTAGTTGAAATGATTCCACTAGTATTTGAGTTGATTATAGTAGACTGATTCATCCTTGGGGCAATCATATTACAAATGTCAACCGTATGTTTGAAATCTAGTGATAAACGGGGATGAAAATCCAACGTCACTTGGTGGTTTGACAGAACTCTAGCATTAATGGGAAATTTAGGCATTAGTTGGTAGTTCGGTGGTGGTTGATAGCAATTTGGAGTTAGGCAGTGGCCCCATAAAGCTCCGATGTCAGGCAGTGGTCTGATGGAGCTCTGGTGTTAGGTGGTGGTCCGGTGGAACTCTGACATCATGTGGTGGTCCAACAGAACTCCGACGTCAGGTGGTGGTCTGACATAACACTAGGCATCACGTGATGGTCCGGCAGAACTCTAGGAATCACATGATGGTCTTGTGGAATTTTGGGCTTCAAGTGGTGGTTCGACGGAAGTTCGGGCCTTAGGTGGTGGTCCGGCGGTAGTCTGGGCCTCATGTGGTTGCCCGATAGAAGTTCAGGACTCAGATGGTGGTCTGCAAAAGTCTGGGCCTCAAATGGTGGTCTGGCAGAAGTCTGAGCCTCGGATGGTTGTCCGATAGAAGTCTGGGCCTCAAGTGGTGGTCTGGCAGAAGTCTGGGCCTCCGGTGGTGGTCCGGTGGTGGTCGAGGAGGAGCTAGGGGCAAGAGCGATCTCGGATCTCTCTCTTGCTCTTTTAGGCTCAAGGTCCCTTTTCAAGAGTAGGAAAGAGTCTATTTATAGATTTCTTAGGGTGACATGACTCGTAAATAAGAGGAAGATCAAGGGTAAATGGGGAGTAGTTTGGATGGACGGTCGATGTTGAATCCCTTGATCGTGGACCATTCGCTAGATATTTAAATGTCTTAATGATGCTGGAATTTCTTGATCTTGGGCTATTTGGATTTTTCTCATCAAGCCGCTCGATTCGAGTCTAAGCATGTCACTTTCGGAAACTGTTTGGTAATCCAATTTATGGTTTGAACCTCCCAACGGAGCTTCGGGCCCTTGATTTGGACCCATTTGGGCTCGGATTGAGTGAATTTGGTGTCTCTGGATTCATATTCTTGAGACGTTCAGTTTGATTGTAAGTTTGCTGAAATCGGAGTTCGGATGATCCCAAATTTAATTTTGGAAGTTTCCAACTTATTTTTTTTTTCTCGAGATTTCTGCCGGATCAAGATATTTTTTTGAGGATGTATCAATACTTATCCTTAAATATCACACCGAAATAATATTTTTAAGATTTTAACAATATTTTGGTGATTAAATTAATACTTTAATGGAGTGCAATCAACATAAGCTTATTAATTTAAATTTCTTATAATTACGTTTTTATTTTTGCCTTTTCAATATCATTATTAATAGATAAACTAATAATTTCAAGCAAAAATTCTTTGTCAAATAAAAATATTATTTTACAAAGATAAAAATGTAGCAATTTATTTTGAGATTGAGCTTTTCTTCACCATGAGACTAACAATTATAATCTTATTATATGACGAAATCTTCATCGTGCTTCTAATTTATACGTCATGTGACTATAACCTTCTCTACAGCATGAAAGTCCTCATTACATTCATTTTAGCTATTTTAACGATCAAAATAGCTAAAATTAAGGTTTTGTTTTAAATAGATTTTTGCCACTATTTTTTATAGCTTGTAACAAAATTTTAACTAAAATTTTGTTATTAAAAATAATAAAAAAATTGTCTCAAACAAAATTTAAGTTGAGATTTATTTTTAGTATTATAACAACATACATCAATGTGGACTAACGTTGAACCAATCCAATCCATAAGGCACCAAAGAAAAGCCCACGAAGGAATATAGCCCACATAGAGAAGAGAGAGAGAGATATTTATTCATATTATATATAGTATGAATTTTAAAAGAAGCATGCTTAATGTATGATTAAGCAAAAGAAGCATAATTATTAATTAATTTAAAAAAGTGTGAAAAAGAAAGCTAACTCCGAATTATTTGGTGTTTTATATAAAAAAACGTCATATTATTTGGCATTCTCTATAAAAACTTCAAATTATTTGACATTTTGCACTAATTTTGGGGAGAGAGATATATGAAAAGAGAGATACATAGAAATATAACTTAATTTATAACTTTAATTAATTAAAATTAATAACTTTATAACTTAATATAATTTTAATTAATAACTCTCTTCCTATCCCTCTCTTCTCAAAAAATATATAAATATAAATTTAGATGATCAGAAAGCAGCGTCCAAGTATCAAATTAAGAAATAAACACATGAGAGTAATTGTTCATGAGATACCGTACGTGATAACATGCATATATAGTTACGTACATCTGCGAGAAGCCAAATATTGGAGCAGATCGAAATAAAAATTATTAACATAATCCAACAGCCATGATCGAGTAAATTATTAGTTAATTACTTTAGGCCGAGATAATGAGCAGTAATCGGGTGGAAAATCCCATCAGCCTCCAAAATTCCCACAAGCTCCGTGGACAGGTGCGCGTAAACCATCCAATCCCCGTTTCCTTTGACGCTCGGCATCGGCATAACATACCCCGCATTCCCATTCCACGCAAAATGGTACGATCCAAACAAAGGCTTTCCCCACCCAAATTCCACCGCCCCCACCGGAAAACCCCTTCCGGAAGACACCACCACGGACAACCCTTCCTCCACATAAACCTTAGCCACCGCCGCCTCCGGCCTCCTAACCTCCACCCAATCCACCAATCCCTTAAAATGCTCTTCTCTCGCCGCCTCCGCAACCAACGTGTGCACGCGCTCAGCAATTTCGCTCATCTCCATTTCCTCCACGTCCGTCGCCGACGCGTACGGAATCGACAGCACGTTGCCAAAATAAGCATCCATCATTGCCAGCAGCCCGAGGCGTCTCCGGCCGTCCACCACCACGCCCATGTGGGTCCTCTGTTTCCGGCCAGCTGCTCGCCCCACCAGCTTCCATAAATAAGCTGTAAATGCCTCCAGCTTCGTGCTTTGGCTCGACACTGCTTTTTGCTGAAGGCGGTTGATATTCGCGGCGGTGACGTAGTAAATGCGGTTTATGATGTTTGATGATGGAGCAGTCGGCGGTGGAAGCTGAGAGACGGGGATGTAGAGGCGGTCGAGTGAGGCTTCGGAGTGAGGGGGTCGGCGGGGGCTGAGAAGGGAGCGCCGGAACGATGGGATGGTTGATATTGGTTTGCCTAACGATGTCTCCGACCAGCTGAGGAGGAACATGTTGAATGAGTAGGCGTCGGCTACGCGGTGGTCGAATGTGCATCCTATGACCATTCCGCCGCACTTCATCTCTGTCGCCTACGACGAAGATGGCCATCAACGTAACTTCCATTTTTTTTTTTTTTCTTTCAATGTAATATTTTTCATAAAACTGTTGTAAAGAATTACGCATGAAATTATTGTCCAAATGATTGTGAAATAGTTGGGATGTTGACTCTTTACAGGAGATGCAGAAAAAAAATTTATGTCAGCTAATCAAATGATTCAGAATGATTTTGAAATAGTACCACACACTACCAAAAAATCAATATGATTTATTGAAATTATAATTTTTTTGAATATATTTGAAGAATTTAAATCATTCTGATATATTTTACAGGAGTATAATTTTGGAGCTAAACTAGTGGAAAGAAAAATGTCTCTTTCATCATTCAGTTGAATATATTTCACATAAATATTTTTAAAATGTTAGTATTTTATTTCAAAATATGTATTTTCTAACTTATTATTTATTATTTAGAAATAATTTGGATAAAATATTCTTATCAAATTTACTCGTATGACAGCTTTAAAATTATTAAATAAATTAAAATATATATTATCTTAACTATAAAATAAATTTAATATTAATTTTGAGATCCAATCTGATAAAAATATTAATTATGATAATCCGAACTTATTTATGCCAAAATCAGAATCTTATGACCAAGAAAATCTTTATATTTTATCATAAGTATCTACAATTAATTTTTAATATTTTATATTTATTTTGTAATAAATATTGTTCATTTATTTAATTTTTAGTTATTTTAAAGAAGTTTTAGGTTTTGTTTAGGACAGCTTTTTTAATGTTTTCTAAAGCCAATTTTTTTGTACAAAAAATTTTTATACTAGAATTTTTTTACTAAAAACTACTTTTAAAAGCATTAAGAAATTTGCCCCAAACCAAACCTTTAGAAGCAAACATAAAAAAGTATACTAATTCTAACAAAATTATTGATTATTATTTTTTAATTAGTACCAACTTTAAAAAAATCTATTTTTTACAAAAGAAGAGAGTTGCTTTTAAATCGACCGGATAAATATAACTTTTTGTTGAAAAATTAAATATCTGCTGTCAACGTTTTGATATATTTGTTTATACAAAGTTATTTCTCATAATAAAAATTTTAAAAATAGCAAGAAAATTCAAAATTGTAATAATATAAAAAAAAGATTTATTTTAGGCATTTCATAAATTTTAATATCCATTACCTGAATAGTGAGCACGCCGTCCTTCTTCTTCGGCACAAGCTTCCTCTCAAAGCTCTGATCCGCGTCATAAAAATCAAGCTCTATAATCTCAGCATCCCCAAACGCTTCAATAAACTCCACACCGCGATTATTGCAACGCAGCTCCGGCTCTCCCATTGAATTATTCACAATCTCTCCAGCAAAAGGATAATAAATAACCAGCGACTTAGCCAGAGAGGTTTTGAGAACGTTAACCAGAGAGGAAAAAGAAGAAGAAAAGCTCTGCTTGAGCTCTAATGGCGGCTTTGTGTATATGAAGAAGACCCCAACGTCCAATGGAGGAAGAAGAAGGTCGAGGTTAGAGAGAGAAAGCCAGTGTTCCTGTAATGGTAGTGCGGCTGAGATTGTTTCTTTGCGGCAGATTCTCACTGTGTAATCTTTGTTGTAAACCATTGTTTGATATATTGGTGGGGTGGTTTTTTTTAGATGTGAGGTTTGGGTTAAGGGGTTTAGGGAGGTATTTATATTCCGGGGGGATTTATATACATACCATAAGATTTTTTAATATTTACAGATCTAACACCAACCTAAATTTCTATATAATTTACTTATATAATATACAAATTTTAAAAATGTTTCAAAAACATTTCAAATATGATTTACTTGATCAAAGTCAAGCACACATTTTCACACATGTACTTTGATGATTTAGATATTAAATTGATATATAAGTAAATATAAAGATTTAATTCTAGAATGTAAATACATTAAAATATTGGGTTATCTATGCAAACGTCCATATTATTAGTTGTATTTGATGCTTAGGAGTAAGTTTATTGATTAAAGAATGAAAATTTGGATTAGGAGATGATGATTTAAGCTTTATTTGGATGAATAAAGTATATGTTTGGTAAGAGGTTGGATTGGAATATTATGATCATTTTTTGAAGAGGTGTTTAAATATTTATATCTGTATTATTTAATAATTTATGCCTATTTATATAATGCTTTAATTTTGAAATGGCATCAAAAAATGTTTTGATTAATCTAAATTTATCTAGAGTGAAATTAATAAGCATATATATATATATATAAAAGAGTGTTTAGATATATAAAAGAGTGATACATAAGTTTATGAAATGAAGACAAAATGTTGGGTTAGGTATGATTATTAAAGTTGATTAGGATGAATATAATATAAATTTGGTAGAAATTATTGGATTGGAATATTATGTTCATTTTCTTAAGAGGAATTTATATGTCATTTATTTAAAGTTACTAGGAGTTGGAATTTATGAGCAAGTCTACCAAAGAAAATAATATTAAAATAAATATTTTTGGTTAGTAGGATAGCATGACTCAGTCTTGATTATGACTAGCATACAAAATTATTATGTATTGTTTCTATTTTAATTAAATAGTGATATTTATTGTGAAATATTTGATGAAATAATAAAATAACAAGAGGTTTATATGTAATTAATAGAATAAATGTTAGAGAAAATTTTAAATGTGTTAATTTCTTGAGATCCATCGACCATTATGTTAATATTTTAGTTAAAAATTTTGACTCAATTTTCTTTCCTAAAAAAATTGGGTTAGAAGATGCTTAGTTAATTTTGATTATAATAAATTTTAAAATTATTTAGTTTATTAATCATAGAAAAATTTCGGGTCAAATGACTCAAATCCATCCACACATTGTGGTCATGTCTGCCCACCAACCTTTCTCTTTTGTTTCTCTTACTGCTCTTCTTTTATATGAGAAAAGTGTTGTATTTAAATTATTTTTATTTGGTTCTTAGGAATTAGGATTTAGGAATAAGTTTATTAATAAAGGAATACTAAAGTTGGGTTAGAAGATATATATGACTGAGAATTTGTCCGAGATAATTTTTTCGCTATTTTGTATTTTAGACTACAACAATAATTTTATTTTGGTATCATTTTTCTCGTTGTTTTTTTAATTTTTTTTTTTTGTGGTGAAAAGTTATCTTTCGCAATCAAATTAAGTAGCAAAATTGTTTTCCCCCTAGCAACTTTGATCACAATCAACTCTACAAAATGTTGTAATTAATTATCCCGGCCCAAACAAACCTTAAGATTGATTAGGATGAATAAAATATATATTTGGGATGTTTTAGTCAATGCTTTAATTTTTAAAAAAATAAATTTATTAGATTTACTTGGAGATAAATTTTAATTAAATTTTAGGTATTGTATTCATTTAAGCCAATTTAATGACTTGGGCATTATGACTTAATTACTTTTAAAAACTTTGATTAATTCATAATTTATTAACTATTTTCAAGATTAATTGCATAATTTAAAGATTATTTACTTGCAATTAAATTGATCGCCATATTCTGACCAAAGTTTCTGGTCGAATAAACTATGCTGGGAGTTGGGAGTTGGTATTAGCAGGGTCGTCTTTCTTGAGATGATGGCTTTATTTTGAAATGAGGTTTTAGGTAAGAGTATTATTAATGTACCAATAAATTATGTAAGTATATTTTAATAATAATGCAGTCCCATTTAGTATATTAGTTGATGATTTCTTCTCTTACTGTAAAATCATGCAACACTTTTTTTTTTCTGTTGGTTGGGAGCTTTTGTTAATAATTAAAAGGTCTTAGGTTCGAGTCTTGCCTATTTGATGTGTATGTGAGTTTGAATTAATTTGGCATCTAATGTCAAATGTTGATGTCATATCAATCATTGGTCGATAGGTGACAAAGAGGAAAAATTATTGCATCCTCCCACCTGACGTAGAGATGCGTCCTCCCAGAGCTTATTGCATGAAGAAATTCACAATAAATCATATTTTTCTTAAATAAGAAGATTGTCATTTAAATATAAGTTATAATTAAACTAATTTGTTTAAATTTAAAATATCTTTTTGATGATATTTTGATCAAATCAAAATATTAATGACCCTAAAAATATGAAATTGTTCTATTTACATTAAAAATGATAATATTTTGGTAGTTGTAAAATAATGAAAATTGTTTTGAAAGAATATTTGAAAATTCATGTATCTTAGCAAATCATGTATTATGTATTAATATTTTACTAATTTTAAACATTAATCCATTTATTTAGATAACCTCAAAATTAAAATCAATTATCAATTTTCAATGAAATAATATTTAGATAGATTTAAAATTAAAATTTCAAAATCAACATAAATTGTTAATGAATCCAATAGATTTGTTTTTTTTTTAGATTTGGTTTAAATTATCAAATTAGTTAAACTTATCCATCTGATTAATATGTTGTTAATATTCAAAGATATTATTTTCCAAATAAAAAATTATAATATTTTGATAAATTCAAAATAAAACATCATAAGTAGCATCATTAAATAATTTTTAATTAATTTGGTTAAATATTCAAATACACAAGTTATTTGAACAATATTAACAATAGTTTTTTATTCAATGAGATTAATTAAGCTTTATAGTTTACACACCTTCTCTTAATAATTAAGATAAGCATTTAGAAATAGAACATGAGTCGACGGGCATCTAATGTCAAAAATCACTTGACTGTCAACAAAATGCAATGGTGAAAATAGATGTTCATCAACAATCAGCTAGCTTTGAGTTAGTCAATTGATGACATCTTATGATGGAAAATGTCAAATGTTGATGTCATATTAATCATTGGTCGATAGGTGACAAAGAGAGCATTGGAATTTTCTATAAATCTTATATTTCTCTCCTAGAAAACTCTCTAAATGTGTGTAAAAAAAAAATAAAATAAAGGTCTCTTCATAAAACCAAGAAATGATATTGTCACCATCCCTACCAAAATCTTACATATTGCATCAAATTGCCCAAATAGGCTCCATTTGATCATGATATATATTTATTTGGACAACTTAGCATCTTAATAAACTTGAAATTGAGCAATTTTAAGCTTATTGGATTTGTGTCATTCAAATATTTATTTTGCTAACAAGTCATCTTAGATCGACTGACGCCGGAGCTGAGCTGTTTGATTGTATTAACTTCATGCTAGTTTTATTCCATTTGGTAGCTTATATGGCTACATAGGTTTAGTACTTGCTTTTGATTGTGTGTAGCCTATTATGTTGCTACATATCTATACATACATAGCCATTCATTGTAATAGATAGATTTGGAGATTAATAAAATTAGAGTTTTACTCTCT